CTCCTCCTCCTCCTCCTCCTCCTCCTCCTCCTCCTCATTCCTCCTCTCCCCCGGGGCGCGGATCCACCGGATCTGTCCGGATCTGTCCGGAAACGGTGCCGGAGGCCGCTCTGGGCTCCTCTGGGCACCTCCCCCGGGGCCGGTTTTGTGAGGATGTCTCAAGCGAGGGCGCCGGTTTGGGACGGCGGATCTGTCCGGAAACGGTGCCGGAGGCCGCTCTGGGCTCCTCTGGGCACCTCCCCCGGGGCCGGTTTTGTGAGGATGTCTCAAGCGAGGGCGCCGGTTTGGGATTCGTCCCGGATCCAGCGGATCCCGGATCCGGATCTGTCCGGAAACGGTGCCGGAGGCCGCTCTGGGCTCCTCTGGGCACCTCCCCCGGGGCCGGTTTTGCGGGGATGTCTCAGGCGAGGGCGCCGGTTTGGGATTCGCCCCCGGATCCAGCGGATCCGTCCGGATCCGTCCGGAAACGGTGCCGGAAGCCGCTCTGGGCTTCTCTGGCCACCTCCCCCGGGGCCGGATTTGCGGGGATGTCTCAGGCGAGGGCGCCGGTTTGGGATTCGTCCCCGGATCCAGCGGATCCGTCCGGATCCGTCCGGAAACGGTGCCGGAGGCCGCTCTGGGCTCCTGTGGGCACCTCCCCCGGGGCCGGTTTTGCGGGGATGTCTCAGGCGAGGGCGCCGGTTTGGGATTCGTCCCCGGATCCAGCGGATCCGTCCGGATCCGTCCGGAAACGGTGCCGGAGGCCGCTCTGGGCTCCTCTGGGCACCTCCCCCGGGGCCGGTTTTCCGGGGATGTCTGAGGCGAGGGCGCCGGTTTGGGATTCGTCCCCGGATCCAGCGGATCCGTCCGGAAACGGTGCCGGAGGCCGCTCTGGGCTTCTCTGGGCACCTCCCCCGGGGCCGGTTTTGCGGGGATGTCTCAGGCGAGGGCGCCGGTTTGGGATTCGTCCCGGATCCAGCGGATCCGGATCCGGATCCGTCCGGAAACGGTGCCAGAGGCCGCTCTGGGCTCCTCTGGGCACCTCCCCCGGGGCCGGTTTTGCGGGGATGTCTCAGGCGAGGGCGCCGGTTTGGGATTCGTCCCCGGATCCAGCGGATCCGTCCGGATCCGTCCGGAAACGGTGCCGGAGGCCGCTCTGGACTCGTGCTCTTCGCGCCGGGGGTGAGGATGACGTGAGTTCCACAGAAACTCCCTCAAACCAGCACGTTTTCGACTTGGTAGCGGAGCTGGCTACACTCTCGTGTGGCTGGCTCTCGCTCTGATTCCTGTAATCCACGGCACAACTTGGTGGACCACTACTACGGTGGAATACCATGTTGCGCCGGCTCTGCGAGGAGCGGAGCCAGTCCGCGATCGAGCTAGCGGGGCAACCCGCGAACTCGAGACGCTCTCTCCTACTTCACTGCGCTACTTCACTCTCGACTTCCACCAGATGCCAATCGGCAACTCGATCGAGAACGTGGTCACCCTGCGGGGCTACCCGCAGCGGGGCCACCTGCATCCCGTGCCAGTCAGGCGCCTCACGGCTACTACGCCAGAGCCTGACAAACCACAGCCTAAACCAATCACCGAAGCCGAAATGCACATGCACTGGATTAAGATAACTATCTTCGGCATTCTGTGGGTAATAATGGGATGTGCTGTGGGATACATGCGGCAGGGGATGGACGACGCGCGTACTACCGGCCCTTCGTGGGACCCTGCCGGTACTACGCCTTTTCGCGAATACGTTCGCGAAGTACATGCATGGATAAACGTAACGAGCGGCAATATGACGCCACCTCAACAAGCTGCAGCACTACAACGAGGCCTTCAAGGTCTTGCTCGTCGTATCGCCATGCAGGTCCCCTCCCAGATCATCAACTATGGTGTAACTGTCAACGGACAGCCAACGGATGCAGTTACTTATATACTGTACCTATTGAGCACCAAATTTGAAAATCTGGAAGATGAGCGCCAGCTCAACTCTGGCACTGCCCTTATCGACTTTCGCGTCGAAAGGGGCGAGCGAATCGACTCAGTGTTAGCTCGATTCGAGATGGCCCGTGACGAGGCTAACTCTGTTGGCTTTGTCATCCCCAACTTTCAGATCCTAACGCTGATCCTTTTCAGAGCGTTAGGCGTTGGCGCGTCACGAGCCCAACACCTGCTGGAGCCCTTTAATCATCAGATGCCCAGAACACAAGCAGACTATGACAGGCTGCTGACCAGGATGAGGAACTACGGACATGTTGCCGAGCGCTCTCCTGGCAACATTGCGGGTATCTTCACAGGGCACCACTCACATGCAGGTGTCTACGCCACGACTGCGGGGTCACCCGCTGGTCCTGGCGAGCCAAGTCCCTGGGCTGACCCAGCCGATATGCCCAACGAGGCCACTGCCTTCTTAGGGCAGACCGGCCAGGCATCGGCAGAGGCAGCTGAGGCGAACGCCTGGTCGAACTACTCGCCAGGCGCCGCCTACACTGCAAGCCCGCCCTCGGGCACAACCCTCTGGGGC